CAAACCGGCGCGAGGGATAAGGGAAAGAGGCCCAGGAGGGACCCAACGCCCTCGTCACCGGCACCGACCTTGCCCACTCTCCCGTCCTCGCCTGGCGGCACGGGTGACGACCTCAAGACCCTACGCAGGTACTGTGACAATGAATGATGAAGGCGCGATGTACTACTAGGTACGTTTCCCCATGATTCGCTCTCGAGCTTGATGGTTGACGCTAGGCCCGCAGCAGAAAGAAATGAACAAACGAATAGCCCTAACCCTGGCATTATTCTCTTTGTTGCCGTGGTTTCCATGCCGCACGCCCCACCACCCACTGCTTGCCGTCGAAAACAGGGCTGAGTGCATCCGCATCAACGACGTGATGCCGCTCAGTCGTGATTTCCGCGTGGAAGGATCCGACGCTGCTATCGAGGTCGATGGTGACAAGGCCATGCTCTTGTTCGTCGCTCCCGGTGTGAACGACGATCTACTCAGGGAAACTGCTCCCTGGAAAGACCGCCTGAACAAGATCATCTACCGCGTGTGCGACTTCTTGCACGAGCAAGGCACAATGATCGTCCACGTTCCTCACTCCTATCTACACCATGGTCGGCGCATCTCGGGTCAGTGTTGTCTGTTGCTTTTTTCAGCTGCTTTTTTTCTCTTCTACGAGCTTTCACGTCAGCATGGTCGTCGTCGTCTCGGTTTCGAGTTTTTTTTAGCGGGGAATGACGTGGAGTTTGGAGCGGCTTTCTGGGCGCGAAGATGAAGACGCTCCCGATGCCCTTTGTCCCCTTCGTCACGCACGGACTAACAAGCGCCGTCCTTATTCGATTGTGTCTTGTTGCTTCTTCTTTTCTTCTCTTTTCACCGTGTAGACGCCCTCAAGCAGCCCGATTTGGGATTGGTTGTAGAAGACAATCCGCTGGTGGTTGTGTACGGAAAGAGGGGAGGTGGGATTACATCTACATCCAAGGCAAACCATCTTTCAGGGGGTGTCGACATCTTTCTTATCGCTCATCCCAATGGCGCTAATTTCCGATGCAACAAGGACGTGCTGCCGCAGAACTTTCCGGATAAGGTTTGGGCAAATGGCGAGCGGATTCCTGTCAACAATGGCCACGAGTGCGTCATGAACGACGTTCCCTACCTTGGGGCTTCTCGATGCTTCCACAACAACGTCGCCTCCTGGGGGATTCAACGGTGAGCCCCTGAGTCTTGAACGAGCCGCTTGACTCCGCGACACCAGAGGCTCGTAGGTGAAAATAAAAATACTTCATCCTCGTCATCCATGCAATGCCCACATGGCGTGTGGGGTTTGGATGTAGCTCCTTTCATTATTTTTTATTCCCAACTCCCGGGGGGGATCTCACCCCTCACCCATCTAAGTAGCATATTTGCGTAGATGGGGGTGGGCCGGGGGGGGGGTGGGGGGGGGGTTACTCTCCTCGCGTTTTGCATGCCTTAGCGGTGGTAGACCATTGACCACGCGTCCTTGACAGGACGGACCACGTGGTAGATGGGGGTGGGGTGTGTCTTCATGGGGTACGAGGGGGGGGGGCGTATCGGCAGGATGGAAAAAAATATTTCTTGTTGTGCGGGTGGTGTACGGGGGATTGTCGTCTTCCCTCAACTGAGAACATACCTGCACGCCCTAACCGTCGTTCGATGAGTGCCAAGTACCAGAATTCCACATGCCGCACAAGCCCTACCGTAACCCTCGTGCCTGACAGTTCTGTATACTCGGTCGTTTTATGCATTCCCCAAGTTTCACGAAGCAAGGGGACACCGTCATGACGCTTACCGCCGACAAGGACGGTGTCGTCGAGACAGCACTGAAGTACGGGCGGAATGTGGGCTTGTTCATCACGGACCCAAACGAGCGCGAAGGCATCATGAAACGGGCGGAGCGAGCCTTCGAGGACCCCTGGAGAATGGGAATATTTATGGTGGGCACCCGAAGGATACTTGTTGTGCAATAGCGACATGCATTGCGGCTTTCCCCTTATCAGCACATCCATAACACAGGTCCCCCCCCCCAGTGAGTGTAGGTCGACTTGCTCAACTTCCTTTTGCTTGGTAAGGCGTCCGCTTTCCTGCCGTCGTTGGTATTTATTGTAGGAAAGTCGTGGGCGATACGCGCGATGACTGTGCGGGAAAGTTACAATACAATATGGATATGTAGTCTACAAGTTATGAGATTTTGCGCGCAGGTTACGCGTTCTTAAAGCCCACCAACCGCCGCTCCGGTCCTTCCTTTCTAAACTCCTTTATACTTTGCTGTTTTAAATCTCCAAAGCGGAAATCACCGGCCACCAACATCCACAAAGTCCGCCATGGCACGCTGCCGCTTGGCATTCCCTCGGATAACACCCCGCGAGGTATCGTCGACCAAATCGACACCTGGACGGAAAATTTGATTTCAGATGGGAAGGATGAAGAAGGCGCCAGGATCCAAGCCATGATTGAAGTGGCGTGTAAGGTGGCTCGTGACTTCCAGTGGGAAGTACGCCTGGACGTGAGTTTATTGCAAGAAGCTACCTTGCATATTTGCAATAATATTGGCATGTGTATGTATGGATGTCGGGAGGTGGGCGGCCACGGTGGTTTCCCCTCTCAGAAACAAAGACATAAAACTGATAAAAAAAAAAATCGTGCTCTCACCGAACCCTTGAATGTCGGTAGCGTGCACCGTTTCATGTCGCAAATTCTCCACACTAATTTGCGCAATATCTCCCTCGAATCTGTTATCCGATTTGCACGGTGCTCTACCCTCTTGTTCGTGTTCGTTAGAACCACCTGCCTGCTCCTGTTCGTCTCAAACTCGCCAAACCCCAACTCTGTCCGAATGTCGTGCCGCAGCCGCCGGAAGAGCTAGGCGTTAGTGTGGCTCTCTTCGCCCTGGATGCCCAACGCTACAAGGTGGGCGCTTCCGACCTTCCCGTGTGGGGGGAGTACATCGTATACGATTCTCGCGAGGAGGCCTATGCTTCAATTAAAACCCGACGACGACGCCGAAAACCTCCAGTACGTGCGACTCCTTCACGTCGCTGACACCCAACTGCTAAGGCGGATGTGCAAGGAGGCCGAAGAGAGCGTCGTGTCCGAGGACGCTGGCCTTTATCTTAGGGTTGCCAAATCTTGCCCGGCGTTCTACGCCTTGTGGGATGAATCCGAAGATAACGCTGGAACCCACGAGGTTCGGAACAGGTGTGCACGAACTGACTCGACGAGCAAACTGGTTGCGAAGTTCAGGGGGACCGGTTCTACGGAGTTCCCTGTGTTCCTGAAGGTGTGCCAGGAGATTGCTGCCAAGAACCGGGGTCGAGTGGTACACGTCCAACCAGGCTTGTCTGTTGTTCGCCCTGGATGGTACAAATCGCCGGAAACGGAATCATCCAGCGACGACGAGGGCGGGAGTCCCTAGAGCTTGTTGTTTTCCATACAGAGGTAGTACAGAGAAGTCGACTACCGTTTCTTGTTCTTGCATGTGTTTTTTCGGCTACATGGGTAATGGCAAGAGAGGGATGCTCCTCTTCAAGGAGCAACAATTGCTCTCTGGGTCGTTGGTGTGGAGGCTTGGGAGGGGGTTGGGAGGGTGTACTGTTTTTTTTTGGGGGGGGTGGAGGTACCGGGAAGAGCATGATTGAGTCTACTAAGGAACTCCCGAGTGCACCCTCACCAGTTTCTCTCAGGGTGTATATTTTTTTCTATTCGTTTTTTGCCCGTCGACTTTGTAATTTCGCATCGTTTCACATTCAATTGTAGGCGGCGGACACCCGTTTCGTGGGCAGTATCAACGTGCCACGTCCCAACGGTATCTGTGAGCGGAATGATTTATGTGTTGGACGGGCGTCGGTTTACCCACAGCGAGTGACAGAGTAGCGTGTGAAACGTATGCGTTGTTCGGACTGCTTGGCGGCCACTGCCATCTCCTCTGGTATGGTACAGTACAAAAAAAAAATGGATTTTTTTTTGTGTTGGGTGGGCACTCTCTTCTACGGAAGAGGGTTGGAGGGTTGGACCTTCCAGACAAACGAAGTGGGGAACCGCACAATAAGTACGGGAGGCGTACCAATTGAGCACGCGCCTCTACATGCATGATGTTTGGACATACGGTTGCTGTAAGACGACGACAACGCATCGTCTCCTGACGTTGGCAATGCTGTATACAGAGACGTGTACAAACAGTCACGAGTAACTTGCCTAGGATTATATATCATCTCGCTGCCTCTCGACCTTTACAACATGCGGCTGCTTTCCGACCTGGACAACAGCAAGTACGAGGGGCGCTACTAACGCCAAAGCGAGAACCTTCTGCCACACCACTGCTGATACTATTATTGATGCGCCGCTACCTCTAACTCTTGCATGCGGAGCGGGTGTGGTCCCTCGTGCGTGCCCCACCCTTCATGCCCCCGCGCAACAAACAGTTACCACCGAATCCTACGCCAACTTGTGCCAAAAACAAAATAAGAGTAATCCACTTGCTGCCCGAACGTGCTCCATACTTTGAGGGAGGGAAACCAGCCTGCAATCGAACTGGTACGTACTTCTAACTATCCCCGCCCCGCCGCGTCGCCTTCTTTCGACCACGTGTCGCCCCAGACGTGGTCTCAACCTTTCGCAAGGTACCGACCCGACCCATGTTCCCCTGTCCTCCATTACAAGCTGTTCCACTCCTGTGTAGCCTCTTTCCATCTCCCCTATCCTCCATTCCAAGCGGTGGTCCAAGCAACCACGCCTCTGACCATCGAAGACGCGGCAAAACATATCATCACCTTAGACAACGGGCATGGAGTGGCGGCATAGCAAAACAGAGGCAAACAAGGAGGAAAAGCGTGACGAGCACCACGACAAAACACAATCAATCTCGTAATATTGCAACCCCTGGTATCGGTCACTGCTCCAGAACGAGAGCTTCACTAAAGCAAGAACGACGTTTTACACACCAGAATGACAACAGACAACACTCATTGTGAGACTACACAGAAATCCCCCTCGTCAAACGGCGAGCGCACCGCAATCCTGACTAATTGTCTAGTGGTCATCGTGCTGATCAACAGGCAGTACAAAGTCGCGGCAGAGCATCTGTACACCATGCTTCCGAGACCTTCCGGTGGGTGCCATTGTTGACATCGAATCCCCTCCCTTCTCATAATGTAAAACGCCAATACAAGTAGCGTACAGTATGACAGCAGTTGTTGTGAGAGAGGCACCGCACCTGGCTCGCAAATAGAAGAAGTTGGCTCGTCTCCCTTCTACAGCAGCAGTACATCATGGGTCCTCCAAGATAGGCGACATCTCCCTTCTACAGCAGCAGTACATCATGGGTCCTCCCAGATAGGCGACCAAACCCAAGCTCGGACGACCCCCTGCTTGTCTTTAGTTAGGCAGGAACGCACTGCTGTTTCGGGCCCTTTGTTGTTTGACCTGTCCGCGGGGATCGAAGCAGTTCATCCATTTCATCACCCTTGCCGAACGGTTCCCGTCACCAATACTTGCTTCAACTCGTCGAACAAACATTCACACATGATCACGTTCATTTTAGCCACTCCGTCTGTGCAACGGGCGGTGGTGGTGTACTACTGTAGGTTCAGTTTCACGGCGGAGAAGGAACAACAGCAGCAGTTACTGAACGACAACACACATGAAGACTACTACCATACCTACGGTGATAAATGGGGGGAGCGAAGTCGTACCTGTACGCTCTATTGCTGCAGGTACATGCATGTATGTGCTCTCCTCGCAACCCTTTCGGCCACTTGGTTTGGGTAACCCTCTACTCCTTCGGCGAGTGCCGTGTGGAAGGTCAGCTACATACAGGTCAAAGGCGTGCTCGCGTGTGCTGTTGTTGTTGTGCGAGGGAGCACGTACACTTTTCTACATGCGGCGC